AATTAAAATGAAATACAAGCTAGGTTAAAAAAAAATCTTCCATGTATTAAAATTACGTATTAGCTTAAAAGAAAGCATATCTTAAGTCATAAATGTACAGCATTATGCAAGTCTGGGGCTCAGCAGCAGCAGAACAGGCTCCTGAATATTTGGGAATGCTAATGAGAAAAGAAAGGGAGGAGTAAGAAAGGTTTAAACAACTCAATGCATCTTTACTTGAATTTAAAACATTTTTGTTCTTGCAATAGCTTGCAATCATCTTTTTTCCACTCTTTGCCACTGTGGTGTCTCATGAGAGCAGTCGGCCTCTAACAGACATCACTGGGATGAACCATCTGACTGTCACACATTCCAAACCCTAAAAAATTGTTCTCTGGAGAAACAACACAACCGACCTCTGATGCTGCTTCTGCAATGCTAGCTATGAATTGAAGCCCCTTAGGAAGCAGGACTGCCTAAGGCAATTCTGAAACCCTACACAAGCTCACAAAAAGCCCAAGCCTCAAAATGAGCGATTTCCTGCCCCTTCAAGTCTTCTTGACATGATTATGCACGCGATTCACCACAACTGGAGAACCTCACTAAGGCGGCTACTTTGGGTATGCATTTACCCCTACAGATCTGCAAGAGTGAGGCCAGGTGTGTGGAAGGGCTGCGGGAGAGCAGTTAACTGCCTCCAGAGGTACTCAAACCTTACATTGAAAGAGTACACTTTTTTTTTTTTTTTGCCTTTACAATGTCCGGTAATAACATACTCACAAATAGTTTGGCCTATTTCAGCTTCAACTGGAAGACTTTAGAAAGAGCATTTTGTCTTTGAGTACAAAGTATTTGATCACAGAATCACGGAATTGTTTGGGTTGCAAGAGACCTTAAAGATCTTGTAGTTCCAACCCCCTTCTATAGACAGGGACACCTCCCACCAGACCCGGCTGCTCAAAGACCCATCCAGCCTGGCCTTGAATGCTTTCAGTGAGGGGGCATTCAAAACCTGGCTGGGCAACCTGCTCCAGAGGTACACCATAACACAAAACTTTAACATAGACTTCCCTCAGTACCAGTTGTGTAGTATAAACATGATAAAGCGTAAAATAATCCTTCAGATAAGGAAACTACAATTTCATTTGTTTTGTAATTGGTTGGTTTTTTTTTTTTAAATATGTATGAATAAATAAATGTCCTCTCCAATCATCTGATTAAACATGCAACTAAAAATAGAAAAATCACTATTCTAAACTGCTTACCAGTGACATGTTGGTATCGAGTCCGTCCCAGCATAGAATGCATAGCGTGCCCCATTTCATGGAAGAGGTTCTCCATCATGCCAGGACTTAGTAGCGTTGGTGCATTCCTTGTTGAAGGCGGTAGGCTAAGCATAAGAACAACTACAGGCAGCTGGTACTCTCCATTTTCCCTTAGCCTGCCTCCACGAACTGTGAAGTGACAATCCTTTCAAAGACAAAAGGAAATAAATGGACAGGAAATGTCATTATATTGATGACACTAGAACAATAATCGAGGTAGAATTTTAAATTTTAAATATTTTACATCTTAATTTTTCATCTTTAGCAGATATTAAAATTTCAAATGGTTTTCATTTCTAAATATTAGATCAGAAAGTAGGTGTTTAAAAATCTCCCATTTCTCTAAACAGATTTCTAAGAGATTTCATAGTGCCTGGCATTCTGCAGTACAAAGAGTCTGAGTTCAGCTTTTCAGGTGGCATCTCTCAAATGAAAAGTTACTCACAGAAGTATTTTAACTGAAACCACATTTCAAATTAGAGACTGTTTGTGTTTACATTTACTTGGATATCTTTTAGTAAGATCGAACACAAATGGCCCTAACTCTATGCTCGTTAGTCAAATCCAAGCTAAAATTGGACCATAAAAGATTACCTGATGTGGTTTATCAGGTCGTTGAAAGAAGTCACAGTAGATGTATCCTAGCAAACCTTCATTTTCATGAACAACAGCCTGATGAAAAGAAGTATTATATCCATAATGAAAGCACTGATGAGATTTGTAAACTGAAGTCATACTACTCTAACCCAAAGACTTAGAATGTATAAACGATAAATAAATCAGGAATGACTCGTGTAAAATCCATTGGTAAACAAGGTTATAAATAAGAGTTAGAGTTTGTCCTTCAAACTGGAGCCATTTCTGTATCTTACTCAAAAATAATTAGTCAGAATTAGAAGTAATACTGCCTGTAGCCCCTAAATGACTTCTGAAAAGTCAACAGTGACAGAAGTTGATTTACAATTAAAATAAAAATAAGGAAGGGTAATTGACCCACTGGATATAAAGAACAGCCGTTCTCAACGAAACTAAGTGGTGGGAGAGAAGTGAAGATTTGGTAGTCGATATAGGGAGCAAAGACAACAAAAGAATATGGGAACTGATGAATAAGTTATTGCACAAGTTCTTATTTCCATCCTCCACCAAAAACAGGGCAGAAAATTAGTATTTACCAATATTAAACATTAATGTAACTGTAAAGATGACATAGAATAAGCATTAGGAAAAGACAAATGACTGTTAGCATACACACATACAACATTCCAATTATCTATAGTCACCTACAAATTAAAAATAAAAAAAAACTAGAAGAACACATTCAGAGACTACAAAAAGGTAATATAAGTCACCTCTGAACTGAGAAACTGATTCTGATTCAGGCAATCTTTGCACATAGATATATTTCAAAGACAATTAAATAGCAACCATACAAAAGGCACTGAGAGCAGGAAGCCCCAGAATTCTATCTTCAAGTAAAATTAGACAGTCAGTGTTTGCTTCTGATAGATAACCAAGTAACTCAAGAACTCCTTCACAGCTTTTAAAGGCTCTTGTCTAATTCAGATGCTGGGAACTTGAACACTTACCAGCTTTCGAACATCTTCAGACCAAACCTCTCCTCTCTGTGTTTGTTCAGCATAAAGGGAGATTCCTAGGAGCTGACTGAACAAAGAATTCAAACCTTCCATGCAGGCCCCAAGAGAGAAGAATGGACAGTACAAGCCAGGATCAATGTTGTACCTAAGACACAAAACAGTTCCAGTGATTGAACTGAGCTGTAGTTTTCACTTCTAAGTCATAGGCTGTGACAAAATAAACCAGATAAACCTCACAAGGCCGCTTTATGCCTGGCTTCATTTCTCAAAGCAAAACTAAGTCACAGATGAGGTACGGCACAGTGCATCACAATAACTTCTTTATATATTCAGTTTGGAACACCAAATTCAGCAAATGCGGACTGATTTTCAGAGGTGTGGAGAGGACGTAGCACAGACTGAGTCTGGCAAAGTCATGGGTGGTCAGGCTGTATCTTATGATCCATGGGAGGCCACTGGCACTCAGGTGCCATTCCCATGCCCAGGCTGTGCCAAGCTACTGACCAGAAAATGGCTCTGGCTTTGACTGCGGTGTAGGCCAAGCACTCGGCGAGGGCAGAAAAACAACCAGTAAGTGCTGACTCTACAGGCTTGTCTTCCAGTGGAGAAACAGGAACGCCAGGGAGATTCAGTCACCCTCCACATGTAGATCACACCTCAAGCTCCAGGGACTTTCTGAACCATGCAGAAACTCTCACAGTTTGAAGCCATGTGAAGAAGAGAAGATTTTAATGCGTGGCTTGGAGTTCAAACTTGGCCACGCTTCCTGAGGCTAACATCAAACAACCTGGTATTTTCAAGACACTGTAGTACAAAATACACATGTTGGGAGAAAACACAGTGTGTCTGCATGCATACAATAAACCAAGAAAGAAAGAAAAACAACTACAGAAGTAGCTTAGAGTGTATGCAACTGATACTTGGGCACAAACTTCCTAAGACTCTGACCCTAAAAATTAAACAACCTGCAAATCCATCACGAAAAACTGCTCAGTCATTCAGCGGTAACAAAATCAGAACAAGAATCTGCTTGCAATCATGCATGCACTCCAACTGACAAAAATGTTCCTGCTCTCTCAATTCACATAGGAAGTCCAAATGTTAGGCTTTCTGGGGTCTCTGAGCAAAGACTGTTCTCTTACCTCTAGAGAATCACAATCCCTCCTATCTCCTTTCTTCTTTCATACCCTAGTGCTTTTGCTTCTTAATGACATGGTAACTAGCCATTGAAATTTAAACATGCATCAGCTAGGCTACAATAGCTGAACACCAAACATTAAAACCACACTATTTTATGGCCTATGATCAAAAGGCTTAGTCAGAGATAAGCTGGGAAAGAGTCAGCCAGTCCCTACCCATTTGTTTACCCTTACTTCTCTCCCACCCATCACACAAAAGAAAAGCTCTATGAACCAATACCAGTTGGGATGTTGCATTTGCCAACATGCTGCTTACAACTGCAGCTCCAATTCAGCAGACAGCTTCAATACGCTGGGATGCACAGCAGGGTGGGATTAGCTCTCTAAACCACTGCACTTTTTCTTGAATATATCATTGTATTTTGTTTTATTCTTCCACCATCCTTTATATTACCTTTATCCCATGCTATAGCAACATGATGGAAGTGCTATGGCAACATCTGCTGAAAATACAGGTATGCTCAGTTACAGGATTTTGCTTATTATCAAACTACAAGTGCAAGAAGCTAAAGCTGATGTATTTCAATGTATTTTTAGTTATATCAGAGCACATAAAATAAAGTAGATTTTGACTCTACTATAGTGACGTAACTTCTTCAAGATGTATAGCAACACTTACACTCTGGATGCTGCAATACAGGCATTTTCCTCCTTACTCAAGAAAGAGCATTTATACCAAAAGAACAAAAACAAGCTGCTTTAGACTGTTAAGAAAAAAGACAAGAAGTACAACTCTAGAAGAAAGCAGAACAGGTAAGTTAAATTTCCTGTAATAAGTTACAGATCAGTAAAGAACAGAAGATACTGCTTTACACACAGAGCTCATTTCCATTAGCCCTGCCAGAACTATGCTGACTGTGCACAGCTCATCTAGGAGCTTCACATCCTCCTCCTTTAGCCATTCAATATCATCCAGGGTTTCCATGTAATTTCCTCCAGGTCAAATTTGAGCAGAAAGCTGACTGTACTAAAAAACTAGAGAAAGAAACCATATGATAAAATTATACAAACGTACAATTCATTAAATCAACATTCAACTCCACCATTTCACACACATAGCAGACCACCAGATTTTTGCAGTTCCAGGAAATTTAAGCACGTAGCTTCTAACAGTAATTTCAGCTGCAGGAAAATAGGGTATGAAAACATCAGTAGTAGAGACCTTGAAAAGTCTTTATGAAATTAAGCCAAACTTACAAAGAATTTTCTGAAAAGCAGTAATCTTTCCTGATGGAGCAGCTAATCCTAGAAACCATTTCCAGGCACACGAAGGAGAAGAAAATCATCAGGAATAGTCAGCACAGACGGTCTGGACCAACGTGATACACTTCTACAATGAAAAGAGTAGCCTTAGAGATGAGGGAAAGCAGTCAACCTAGAATTCAGTAAGGCTTTTGGCACTGTCTCCCATAAAATCAGCATAGTTAAACTGCTGATGCATGGGTAGAATGGACAGACAAGCAAAAGGTGATGATGAATGGCACAAAATCACATTGGATGCCAGTAACTAGAGGAGTACCCCAGGGTCAAAGCGGGGTCCAGTCCTGTCTAACACTACTGTGGTTTAATCCGGCAGACGGCTGAACATCTCACCGTTGTGGCAGTCTTGGCTGACATCAACTTGAACATGAGCAAGTGATGTGTCCTTGCTGCTAAGAAAGTATCCTGGTATCCTGGGCTGCATTAGGAAAAGTATGGCCAACAGGTCAAGGGAGGTTCTTTCTTCCCTGCTCAGCACTGGGAAGGCTACACCCAAAGTACTGCGTAAAGTTCTGGGGCCTCCAGTGCAAGAAAAACATGGACTTATTGGACAGAGTGCAAACAAGTGACATGAAGACGACTGAAGAATTGGTGCACCCCATCTAAAGGGAAGGACTGAAAGCCAGGACTGATGAGCCTAGACAAGAAAAGGCTCAGAAGATCCTATCACTGTCTATAAATACCTGAAGAGAGGGTGCAAAAAGACAGAGACAGGCTCTTTCTAGTGACACTCAGTAAGAAGAATAAGGCAATGAGCACAAAACAAAATACAGAAGACTCTAACTGAACATCAAGACACATGTTTTTCCTGTGCAGGTGATGGAGCACTGGCACAGGCTGCCTGGAGGCTGTGGAGTCTTCTCTCCTTCTCTCTCTTGGAGAACTCCAGAAGCTGCCTGGATGTGGTCTTGGGTCTGCTCTGGGTGTTCCTGTTGATGCAGGGGTTAGGCCAGGTGACCTCCAAAAGGCCTTCCAACCTCAGCCAACTCATGATTCACTGAAGAGATGATATGGAGCTTAGGTACCAGAACTACAGAACCGCAGACAAGATAGATTCCAGCTTAATCAAAAGAGGACAACGTGTGCCATGCAAACTGTAGAGGATTACTACACTGAGATGAAATGCCAGATTAACGTGTGGTTGCTGGGGGGTAAGGAGGAAGAGTTCTGAAACTGTTTTATGATTTTTTTTCCGTAAAAGAAATTCTTGCTGATACAGAAAAGCAGATACATACTAGCATGAGAAACGAGTGATATTACTTCACACAAAGAGTTGATGTGACATGTTACACAAAGAAAACAACTGTCTACTTATTCCTCATTCTCAGTGCTCTCTGAACATACAGATTGTCTCCATGATCTTATTCCATGATGAAGAGCATGGGAAGAAGGCTTTCTGATAAGTATTTTGAAATAGGCTGTCACTATCCAAAGAGGGGAAAGAAATCAGCCTGTGACAGTTTAGTCTTTTGGAAAAAGCACAATACTTATCCACCCACATATGAAAATAGATGTAACAGACTACATTGGTTTGAGCCAGACTTCTCAGGGGAAATAGTCCCTTACCCTAGCTAATGTTCTAAGATGTCACAATCTAATGTTTTGAGTACCAGTGGCTCTGATTAGACAATCACTTTAATAATAATAGCATAAAGTTAATGTCAGCCATTTCTGGTATAGCACCGTCAGGATATAACTTCTCCTGCATCTAATGAAAGGTATATGTTAATGTCACTTTTGCCAACATAAAATAGAAAGAAAAAGGTCTGCAAAAACATTTTTGTACAGAATGCCAAAAAAGTATTTCTGGTTCTGATCCCACTTTTATTTCTCCACCTCTGCCTTGCCTGCTACAGCAGCGTGAGAACAAAGTCAAAGACGAAGACTTTGGAAAATCTTCAATAGTGTCTTATGACACAAGTCTGATATTTAAATTATTTCTGGACAACGCTGACAGCAGTCACTGGCAACTATTATCCCTTAAGTTATCTTCTAATTGTAGTTTGGTTTGGATTTATTTTCTGCTTGTCACCGCAGTGTCACAGAAGTTCACAGAATAGAAGTTCACTATTTCTGTTAACATTCTTCCAATCGATTGGAGATAATTTCCCAAATAAGCTGTTCTATCACATTCCTAGGGACAGAGGTGAGGCTGATTAGCCTGTAGTTTCCTCCTTGCACTTTTTAAAGACTGAAGTGACAACGGTTTTCCTCCAGTCCTCAGGCACCTCTCCTGTTCTCCATGACCTTGCAAAGACGATATAGAGCAGCTTGACAATCATTTCTGCCAGTTTCCTCAGTACTTGTAGATGCATCCCATCAGGCCCCATGGGTTTGTTTTCATGAAGTTTGCCTAGATGATCTTTGATCAGATTCTCCTCAATCAAGGAAGTCTTCTTTTCCTCAGACTCCTTCTCTCTAGGAAAGTTTAGGATTCCTGAGGGGCAGTCTCAGCAAAAGACTTACAGAGGATCATATCTTGGTAATTTGATCCCCTTTCACGATAAGGTCACCTACTTGGTGGATGAAGGGAAAGCAGTGGAAGTAATTTTTCTGGGTTTTAGTGAGGCATTTGGTACTGTCCCTCACAGCATCCTTCTAAAGGAAGGTTCACACCATGCTACATGATGAACTGTAAGTGAATTTACATCTGGCTTGCATCCTCAGCAAGTTCACCGATGACACTGAACTGGGAGGTACTGCTTACTCTCAGGAGGGACAAGAAGCCTTTCAGAGGATCTAGATATACTGGAATATTGAGCAATTATCAACAGCATGAAGTTCAACACAGGAAAATGCTGGGTCACAGAATCACAGGGGGTTGGAAGGGACCTCTAGAGATCATCGAGTCCAACCCCCCTGCCAAAGCAAGTTCCCTACAGCAGGTCGCACAGGTAGGCATCCAGGCGAGTTTTGAACATCTCCAGAGAAGGAGACTCCACCACCTCCCTGGGCAGCCTGTTCCAGTGCTCCGTCACCTCACTGTAAAGAAGTTCCTGAGCACATTTGTGCGGAACTTCCTACGCTGCAGATTATGTCCGTTTCCCCTTGTCCTGTCTCCACGTACCACTGAAAAGAGACTGTCTTCACCACTATGGCCCCCACACCTCAGATATTTATAAACCTGGATTAGATCCCCTCTCAGTCATCTTTTCTCAAGGCTGAACAGACCCAGTTCACTCAGCCTTTCCTCATAGGGGAGATGCTCCAGGCCCTTCCCCATCTTCGTGGCCCTCCGCTGGACTCTTTCCAAGAGATCCCTGTCTTTTTTTGTACTGGGGAGCCCAGAACTGGACGCAGGGTCCTATATCTGGGGTGGAGCAGTGCTGGACATAGGCACAGACTGGAGCCTACTGGCTGGAAAGCAGCTCAATAGGAAGGGACCTGGAGGTGCTGGTTACAGCAGCTCAGCATGAGCAAGTAGTGCCCTAGCAGCCAAGAGTGCAATGCATTTTGGGGGACATTTTGCAGGTGAGAAGGCACAATTCACTTGCTATACTTAGTGCTGATGCAGCCTCACCTTGAGAATTCTGTGCAGTTCTGAGCTCCACAGTAGAAAAAGGATGTTAAGGAGCTTGAATGTGCCCAAAGGAGGGCACTGCAGCTGGTGACAGGGCTGGAGCCATGTCCTGTGAACAAAGATTGAGAACATTCAGGCCTGAAGAAGAAACTAAGACATGACCTCTTTGCTCCCTGCAGCTCCCTGGGGCGAGGAAGCAGATGGTGGTGCCAGGCTCTGCTATTGGGAACCAATGGCAGGTCAGGAATGGCACAGAGCTGAACCATGGGAGGGTCAGACTGGGCATTAGGAATAACTTCAGTACCATGAGGGTGGTCAGACACTGGAACAGGTTTCCTAGAGAAGTGGTTGATGTCCTGTGCCTGTCAGTGTTCATGAGACATTTGGACAATACCCTCAATAATATGCTTTAGCCTCTGTTTAGCTGTGAAGTGGTCAGGAAGTTGGAACCAATAATCCTTGATCTTTCTAAGTTCCTTTCAGCTGAGCTCCTTTATTGTATTCTATTTTATTCCATTATAATTAATAACACAAATTAAAATGAGTATGGGGTGCTGAAAAAAAGCAACTGTTCTGAGAAGCAGGTAGAACCTCTTCAAAACCTTTAACACCAGTCAATAACAACCAGCAAATAATCATTCTAGACATTAAAATACAGAACTATTTTCCAACTTTTCAATTCAGTCCTACCTTTTATATGAACCCCCTTGCTACATCAACTATCACTGAAGAAAGTCCAACCCCAAACTTGTACTGATTCTAGGAAAACTTTCTCTTGGGGCTTATTTACGAATTAGCCAAAACCTCAGATAACTGAAGCTGATGTCCTATAACCAAAAATTCAGTTCCTGGAATTATTATTAATAGATGATCTTGCCTTTCAGTGGCAAGAACAAGCATATGATGGAATTTTTTCTGAGTCCCCACTTCCAAGATTTAATGCTAATCACCGCAGAGTGAAAGGTGTAGCACTAGGTATTAAATAACAATGAAAAGGGAAGAAATTAATTTTAAAGCCCTGACTCCTTCCCAAAGAAAGGATACGCAATGAGCAGAACAGGAAATCCTACAATCTCTTTTAGATATGTAAAACTGAGGTCTGGCTGGAGGATGTGGGTGGAAAAGTACTCGGAAAAATTTGCAGACAAACTACATGCTCCCTATTGAAGATTCTTGCTTGATTCCAGGCACTCCAACAGTAGCAGCCATTAGCAACTTCATCATTTCCAAATGACAGGAAAAAAAGCATCTGCTTGCTAGTAAATGATTCCCTAACCTCAGTTATTCACTTCATCACCTTAGTGAAACTGCAAGAACATAACATTTCTCAGGCACAATATTTCAGTGTTCAAATCTGTATTAATCCAAAACACTGCAGCACAACTTCTTGGCAGCTATGGCGACAGGCTGTGACAGCAAGCCAAACCTCTCTTCTCTCAGTCCTTTGAATTAAATTTCTTTTGGTGTTCAAGGATTTGGGATTGTATTTTCAAAACACTCCGTGACCCTGGTCAGATTATCTAAAATACTGCATAAAACTCTAAGATGCAGACTTCTATCAATACACTTTTTAAATGCTACATAACACAGATAGAGATTGTCTGTGTAGGATGCAGAGCCTTTTTGAGAGCAGATCCGAGACTGTAAAATGAATTTCTCCTGAAGCTAAAGGGGAATCTCAAAGTTAACCATCTTCTAAGCCAGGTATTTGACATTTCTCTGATCTTCTTTTGGTTTTTTCAAATGTGAAATTAATTTGAAAACGCACGCAGCAGCCTCCCAACAAAACCCCAGCAAAACAAGTCATTTGACTGCATGTTTTCTTTATGGATAGAACAAGAAGACAAAAACTTTAGTTAAATACTTAAAGAATTAACTGATAGTGGCTGACCCTACATCAAAAGGAACAGAATTCCCAAGTGCCTTAGCTTAGCCTGCCCCAAAGCTGTTCACTCCTCAGAGCAAAGCAACCTCCATAATCTGCATGTTAATAGCTACTGATAATCCTAATATGTATTTTTATACTATATATTATGTCAGTAGCCATAGAGAATCACTTTATGCAAGATTTTCAAGCTGTTATTAACTGCAGACTTGAATAGCTGTCTAGCTTTTTTTTCTATTTAAAGTGGTATAAAAGTCAAGCAAACCAGCAAGAAGCAGCTGCTTTAATCCAAACATTTTCTGATCACTCTTTGGAAAACTGCCTCTGCATTTGCTCAGCCAAGTTACAACTTTTATCTCCAACAGGAAATGCATTGATGTGTTTTTGGGAAAAGAAATAAGAAAGGAAGCGAATGCAGCTCAAACTGAACTGTGCTAACAGGCATTGTGCTATCCATAAGGTTTCTGCTAAGGGTTACTGCTACTAGCAAGAAAGGTTAGTGCTCTGGAAACAGACTGCTAAAATTTACATTGGAAACAAGTGAATAACTGGAGCTTCATTTGGTGACAGAAGCTATAGGGAAGTGCCAGAAGAACGGTTTTCTTCTGTGCCATAATTTGCAGCTTGTTTGCTGCATCATCTGAGCAGTGAGGAAGAATTCAGTAGGACGGTGATGCACACAGCATACTAACATCACTAGGAGAACATTCTACCGATGTCTCTAAAGCAGGCAAGCGCATGGAGACACAATTAAAGTCTTTCCTAAGGAAGAGAAAGTGCTCACGTCACCTAAGCAAGCACAGGCAAGAGTCAAATATCCCTGGATATCCTGCCCCTCAAAACACGAGCTCTGGGCAACAAGCAAGGTGATTCAGAGTGCTTAAAACAGACACTTAGGATGCTGTGTCCTCAGAGAAAGGTGGACACAATTCTGAGGCCATGCATGCTTAGCAGGGTATTAACTTGAGCTACCTAGCAGAAGTCTTGAACTGAAATATCCTTGAGCTCTTGCTCCTCTCTGAAACTTAACACTTCTCTGGCTGAACTGCATAGCTGAATCCCAACATGATGAACAGCACAACTTCTTTCTAGGAGAAGAAACCTTTGAAATGTGAAGGAGATGAGAGAATGGTGGTCTGATGCATCACAACAGAACCTTGTAAATAAATACACACTCTAGTCAAAAGATTTCTTTTCTTGGGTATCAGAGGTCAAAAGCACAGTATGGACTGATTTTTGATGCCAGTAGTCAAGAGTACATTTTCGGAACCATTCCTGAATTTAAGCACTTACATTTCTTAAGTCCTTATGTGAAACTTATATAATCTGTATGCATTTCTGGGAGAGCAGAAAAAAGGAAATAACAATACAGATATAACCATCAGAAAACACAATTATAAATCTGAAAGACCATTTCTTGAAATTCAGACATTTTTACACTGCTAGATTTTTGAAAAGGTTGCTTCTTGTTTAGCTGTAGGAAATATCATACTCCTAAAAAAAAAAAAAAGGAAGGGTGCCATTGTAGAAATCTTGCTCTGAACAAATCAGAAACAGTGTCAAAAATATATAAGTGAACTCTTCTCTACAGTAAGAGTATTTTCCTCTCCACCAAGCTTTCAGTTAAAAAAAATATATCGAGAATTAGAAATAGTCCTCTTTATTTTAACAGTGAACCTTCAGTTACCTTGCTGAACCTGCACAACTGCATAATGCAAGTTATGCTCAAACGTCCAAAACTGTGAAAGACTAAGACAAAAAAACAAAAACAAACAAACAAACAAAAAATAAAAACAAAAAAACAAGTCTGTTCTGCTTTCATTTTGTCTTAAGACATTTTCCAATATCTCACTTCACTCTGAATGTCTGAGTTCAAACCCTGGAGCATTCGTATTTATAACAAACCCTAGAAAGAATGAAAATTTTCTTATGCACTTTATTGTAGAATGTAAGCCCAGAAAGGTTAGAGAGAAAAATCCTCGTACTCTCCTAAAGCAAGCAGAAATATCAAAGAAAACAGTAGTTTCTTTGATGTTAATTCCTGCTTTATATTAAAGGATAAACTACTTTCAAAAATCCAGACACCTCACTTTTACAGTATGCAGCCCAGCAGTATTTTTAAAAGAAGCAATGTAGCCAAACCAATTTAAAAACCAATTTAAAAAAAAAAAAAAGAAGTTAACTGACACAGTGAGGTTTGGTTATTCTTCAAGAACAGCAGGCTTCAAACAAACAGGCTGTGTCTCTGCGAAGAACAAAGACGTAGTATGTCATTATAAATAATTATTTCTAAGCTTGTATGACTTCACTGAGCCTAAATAAAATACAGACTTCTAAAATCACTTTCATTTAAGCTGTATATTTGGAAAGAAACTAAGAGTGTTTTGTGTAGCGTGACTTTCATCTATTCCAATAAGGATGCTTTTGATAAGCTTGGACATTAGGGATATTTGAGTAAGTATTGCTGCTCTTCAGAGCTAAGCCTTCTGACTCTTTAACAATTGCAAATTAGTCCCTTGGCAAGAATTCTTATCTGTGGCTATTAAGTTGTGGTCCCTGATAAATCCTGGTGCTTTGTTTTTGCTTTTGAGAAAAAAATTATCCTGTTGACTTCCATGAAAATTCAGAACACTAAGGGAACCATCTTTAATGAAACAGATTCTCTCAAAACTTTCAAATAAACTTGAAAAAACGTGAAAAAAAAACTTCTTAGTAGAAGATAAAAGATAAACCCCTCAGGTTAACTTAAGGAGATCAAGACAAGGAAAACCCCTTCCAATTTTCATTACATGCCAGACTATGAAATTTAATTCTTTACCTCAAGGGAGACTATTAACCATGATTTATAGAAGACTCTGAATTTCTTAAAAAATAATAATAATACTAGAAAGCCTTTGTACTCTCATCAACCACAAACTAGCACCTGTATCCTTTTCTCCTTCTGTTAATTGTACCTTTTAGACTGTTATGGAGGAGGTCAGGGGATAATTCAGAATATTGATTTGCTACTGACACTGTATATGACTTTTAGATTGACTTTGTTTTCATATCAAACAACAATTTCTTTGACATTCCACAGCTATTTGAATACATAAATAATTCTTGAAATGTATGTTCTGCTTTTGAATGACTCGTCATGCAAATAAAACATGCTAAAGTCAGAAAGAATGACCACTGACTTTAAAGCTTCTTGCCATGCTTTTAACATATATTATGCTTTGCCTGTATTACAGCAACTTCTTTAACTCTTAGGTAAAGAAGATAACAAACTAGTATAAGTTCTCAGTGATAACAGGAAGAAAAGAGTAACAAATTATTTGTGAAATTCTTTTACTGGGATGTTTCAAAACACTGTGTGTAAACCACCAAGTAGTAGCATCTTCTAGAGTATGCAGTTTGCACACAACAAAACTCACAATTTTCTGAGCCTTCCTCACAATCACAGTTCTACAATGAACAATATAGCAAGGCTTTTCAGTAGCTTTCATTTTTTCCTCCAAAAACACTAGTCCACCAGCTTAGTGACTGGTAAGTTGATTTAATAGAAGACATGCCTTCCCTTGCTTATAAACAGATAGTTACAAAAAATTTTCCTTCTCTATGGGCATTTTGGTTGAAAGATTTCCTGATTCTTTTAAAAATTTGCATTGTTTTTTTCATTTCAGGATTCAATTTGAACAGAAGTGACAGTTTTCTCACATATTCCACAAATATTCTGGGCTGTTTTTCCACTCAACATTCCCAATAGAAAACATGCTTTCATAAAGCTAAAAATAATGCAGTTACAGCTTGTAGTGTATGTGCCTTTAGAAACATTCACAGCCATGTTCAGGTACCTTGATATTGCCCCTGCCCCTGAAAAACAAATGTGCTTCCCTGCGAGCCAGACATGTTCAGTCCCAACATGAAAGCAGTGAATTGTTCCTAGATTCTGCTGAGCTGGTTACCCCAGGATCCAAAATGCCTCCAGTTGTCATGGTGGCTTCTCCTTCCTACAGAGCAGGAAACTGGATTATTTTGGTATTGATTTGTTCATCCCCAAGGCCAGTCTTACTCATTTTTGCAGTCCCAAAGGAACAGAGAGCACAGAGAGCAAGACCCTGAGAGCATATCCCAATTGTTTCTTGAATAAAGTCTTTCACAGTTTGGCAAATATCCCCAAAGTGAATTACAGCCAACAAAGTCAGCCCAGTCTCATAAGCAACAAAGGTTAGGAAAACAGGAGTCAGCACCAAATATTGCAAGCTTGCCTCTGACAGTTCTTACAAAAAGTTCTATGCTTCAGTTGGAAGTGACTTAAGTATAGTTAACCCCAACTTCAAGACAAACAACTGACTGTAAAAGGTCTCTTCCATTAATTTTTATTTATTTTTTAATGACCCAAATGAAGTCATCAGGGCTACTACATCTTTGCAGGATCAGGGCCTTGAGAATTACTTATAACTTCAGCAGCATTTACTGAGAAGTAATGGGATTTAATTAATACCATGGTACTTGCCTGCACTAAAACTCAAAAGCATTATTTTATAATACACATATTAGACATCTTCTTACTTGTTAGAGGCTGAAGCATGTTCCAGCATTCACTGTTTTATTACCCTCAGCCTGCCAAAATTCTTGAGGTTCTTCTAATTATTCTATCTCCTTTTAAGATACTTCTGCCATGGATTTCAGACTTTTGTCTCCAGTTTCTGTCAAATGCACAACATTAGTCTGTTGTAAGTTTAAAGCCAGAGAGGATACTTAACATCATTTTCAAAAAAAAAAAAAAAAGGAAGTAAACTACCCTACTATTCTGTTACCATCAATGGGAGACCTGCACTTTTTGAAGTAGGATCAAGTTTCCAGGAAAAAGACTTGGTGAAAGCTGACAGAAACAAAACTTTTGTAGATGAGTTTATAGAAAGAAAAATGTATTTCCTGAGCTAAGTCTGGAGCTCCGCCTGCTGTTCACCTTAAAAAACAGCAGAAACGTTCAGTAAACTACAGGAGTGAAAAGGGGCAAGTATTACAGTCCAAGTGCACGCAGGGGATTAAAACCTGGAGCAAAAATAAAATGTAGAGTAATACAAGATCACCTCAGGATCACATTGTTCAGTGTTTGCTCACAACATTTATGTGAAAATATGTTCATATAGAGCAAAACAAAGAACAACAGAGAACAGGGTATCTCTCCCAACAGACACAGGCACTGTCTCATCAACTATTTCTTCCATCCTTAGAGATGCATGTGACATGCTATAACATTGCTATATTAATTAAGCACTAAAACTCTTGGACTAGATGATCTTGCAGGTCGTTTCCAACCTTACGATTCTATGATTCTCTTTATACCCTTCTCTTATAATTGTAAAGATAATTTGCACCTTATCTATCAACAGTAACAACAAAACTATGGTTCAGTACATCAGCTGGAGCCACAAAATAACCGTAGCCCAAAGGAAACACTCAAAAGCATGCATTTGGTTTCTTTTAAACAGAAATACTTTTCTATGAAAAGCAGAAGAAACGAAATTCATGGTAATACAGAAACAACCACACAAACGACTGAGTGCCAAAACACAACAGAGGCAAAAATGAAAACCATGCTCTGTGCACAGTACTACTAGAGACGTAACCGCATCTCTTTTGTAAAAGGCATAAAGCTGGAAGTACATTTCTGCCCCCCTCCAAAGAAAACAAAACAAAACAACACAACAATGCAATGAAGGAAAGACTTTTTTCTCTTCCCTCTGTGAAAGCAGCACAGCTTTAAATTCTCTTTTCCAACAGGATAAAAGGTCAGCACCACTGACCCAGTGAACACAACACGCAGTGCTCCTGCCTGCCAGAGCTGCCATCTCTTTTCTTGTACGCAATTTAAGTCTGTGTGGTGGACCTATCAGATTTATTTCTTAGTCTCTGCAAAACAGATGAGAATGAATTCTACCCACAAAGAGTGAAAACCTAACCAAGAATTTTCTGTTTGAGGTCCATGAAAGGGGATGATAAATGCAAGTTCAGTAAAAGGAGTAAACTAAATTATTGCTTGAAGAGGAGTTAGATTGTATTCTGTGACCCAGATTTATTTTTAAACATTACTGCAGTTCAGCTAAGAGCTAAAAGCAAAATGAAAACGAGGATTTTCTGTCTCTTGTGAAACTATTCTATCCTCTTGTATCTCCAAAGAGGACTTTTCTGTGAAACAACAGAGGAGCCAAAAATTTATAGGCATTCCAACAGTAACTAAGCAATGCTGCAAACAACTGCCTCTTCACACATTCTTTATATTTTCATATTGAAGTACATCTTCAAAGAAGGAAACCCTGTTTACACTGAGGACTTTCATTATACTTACTGCAAGGAATGAAATAAAGGCACTCATTTACATTACAATCATGAACATAAGGAGCTTACCTCTCAGCACGAAGGACGCCACTGTAGTAAGGATGATCCCATGGCATCAATTTCTGAAAGAGAATTCCAGCTCATAATTACAATAATGAACAGCAAGTGAACCCCAAGTAAACTTCTTTTCCTTCGCATATTTTTGCAGTTTCTGCAAGTGACAGAACTTTAAATCACAGTGGGAAACAATCAGTACTAAATTCATCATAATGCAGAATTTGAGAAGTTATTTTAACAGTCTGCATTAAGATCACACACCTTACTCAAATACACAGTGGGATCAGACTCCAAGAAAAAAATAATCAAGAAGAAATATCACTTTGTATCAGCCAACTACCGTGGCGGGCTCAATTGGTTTTAATACTAATAGCAGCTATGAAGTCAAAAAGCACTTTAAAGCAGAAGATGGAAAACACCTCTTTGTTATCACACTAGACGTTGCATATGAAATTGAGTTGATTTTTCATACAGCACCTGGTTAGCTCATGCTACATCAAAAAATAAGTGTAAATTTAACTTACTGAATTCTGAGGGTTAAGCTTCGCTTTCATCTTTGTCATCATTTCAAAATCTTTTTGAGTTCTGAAAAATAATTGTATGATGAAAAACTTCATGAATGATTTTCTAGAAACGGAGTGTAGCATACAAGAATACTTTTTCTACCATCAGGGATTGGAAGTACTCTATAAAACATCAGGCCCGTATACTACAGTACAAGAACTTTCCTTTCTGCTTTTCTCATTCAAGTACTCTCAATCAAATCTTTCTTACCCTCTTTTCAGAAAGAAAGAGAATGCTTGGTATATACACAACCCCATGAGTAAATGACCCCATTAATACACAGTGATGAAAGTGTTTTGTGCTGTATGGAACTAAGGGGAAGATAGCAGGACAAAGGGGAATTTGTTCATAGACGTAAAGTACATATATGAAGTTATGCACATGGGAAAAGTCCATAAGAGGTGCCCTTCAATACTTTACTGTCTTCTTGTTTGCTGTTGCCTGCATTTCTTGTCACATCCCTTGTATTCAGTCTTAGCTATTCTCTGATCATAGCCACAGAATACACTTCAATAGTTCACCTCAGAACTCTTCAGACAGTCTTGCTTTTTATTTCATCAAAACATAAGCAGCAACGACTGATTTTGTAGTACATGAATCCCTCTGCTCTTGAAATGCAAGCCTGCTTACAAAAATATCTTAGTGAAAAGACATACCTTTCAGACAACTGGTCAGAAAGCTTCTCTAAAAACTGCGTTACTGTATCTAGAAGTGCAGGGGGGAGGAAAAAAAAAAAGGAGAAAAAAAAGAGAAAAAAAAGGTGATTCAGTCCCTTGAAAGGTGTCGCATTTGGATCAGAGCTTCCCAAACGAAAAAAAAAAGACCCTTAGAACATAAGAGCATAAAAACAATATGGTTGTTTTTAGAACAAGAAATCATATCACTGACCACTGCACCACCATTTCAAGGGAATTCGGTACCATGTTTATGTTATGTTATTACAGCATAATGGCAACTTCGTAATTGAAGACTGAACACTGATTCTTAACAAAAAACACTGGACCCTATTCATATTATTGCCAATTACAAGGAAACATGAGTTTTTCATTCAGCAAAATGTAAATGAAATAAGAAACTTCACTGGAAGAAATGTGTATAAACTTAGCAAAACAAACTAGCAGCTTTTAACATCACACCTAACACAGCTCATTCGCTTTCTCAGCTTACTGTTCCACACATGCCTTATACCTGGATTTTTGGCCATTGTTCCCTGAAGAGCCCTGTGGGCAAAGGTGTCATACCCAACCAACTGTGCCAGACTGTTTCGACTAGCAAGCAGTTCTTCTAGACAGCTTAGCTGCTCAGCATTTGGGTAAAGAAAAATCTTGTAAGCAGCTTCTCGTACCTAATATGGAAAAAAAAAAAAATAATAAAGTCACATTGTTACAGTCTAACTCCTAAAGAAACAAGCAATGCAACTGAAAATCTGGTATTCATTGATATGTTAGAAAAGTATTTTAATAATAGTAAATATGATTCTTTGTCAATTACTGCTCTCTTACTCATTATAGATGAAATGCAGTGAGACAACATAACAGTTCAAGAGTGCTAAAAGGGATCCTTGTTCTCCACTCCTGTCAACAGTCCCCTCCTCTTCTCATTGCCTCTCTTTGTGCCAACATCTGTGTTTCTCAGAGCACTCTTTGAGCTGTCTTAGCTCATTCAAAGCTCTGAAAATTGTCCTTTCCATGTCATTCAAACTGGCTCCTGGAAGGATCTGATGAGAACCAGAGACAGGATCAGGGGATAGAAAGAGGAGGAAAAGAAAAGCCTTATTTCTTCAAGGTAGCAAGCTATTAGTCTGTCCATCTGCTCATGGATAATCCGCTCTTCTATTTCTGATTTATTTTTATTATACCTCAAAAAAGTCACCTCAGCAACCTCAGTAAAATGCTTTTTCGATTTCACAAACCAATTTAAGAAGACCTTTATATTGTACATTTTGTACAAAGGGAAGATGCAGCCAGACCCTTTTTGGTGCAGAGCAAGAGGATGAGATGTAACAGACACAAGCTGGCAGATAAATGTTTCCTATTCAATACCATGAAGAAAAACAGTTAAGTGGTCAAACACTAGGAGTACAGGTTGCCAAGCAAGATGGCATAATCTCCATGTTTTGAAAGCGTTCAAAACCCAACTGGATATCGGCCACGAGCAACCTGACCTACTTGATCCCATTCTGAACAGGATAAGGCTGACAAACTCCAGAGGTCCCTTCCAATCTGTATTTTATGATTTCCAAAGAGCCTCTTTAAACACCCGACTCAGAGAAATGCAATCTTTACTGATGTATTACTGGACGCTTAAGTAGCAATTCTGCAGATCACACTGTTTTCAGGACAAGTTTATAAATGACACACAGTGAGTATTTTTCCTTCACTTACATCCTCTCAGTGCCACGATTTTAATTAATTTTTCATTTCTTACAGAGAACAAACAATTCAGCTTGGGTTCTACTACAGTCAGCTTTTCTATTTTTCGTGATAAACAAGATTTCAGTCACCTCAGTTACTTTATGTGAGAAGATTTGGGAGTTGTAGTAGATGTAGTTCCTAGATTCAGATCTAAAAGACTAGATAACCACTGTCACATTTCAAAGAATCTAAATCCATCAAGTATCATCAACAATAACCAAAATAGGATTATTTGGGATAATTCAGGGATAACTGGAGGGGTCCAAAGGAGGTCTCTAGTCCAACCTCATGCTGAAAGCAGTGTCAGCTATAAAGTAAAATCAGTTTACACAAAGC